ATGTTTGGACTTTTTCATTTATGTAGCAAAAAAAATAAAATAATCCAGTGGTGAATAAATACCACCAAAATAAGTTTTATCTGTCTCAAAAAATTCATATGGGTACAGTGTTGCATTACCGCACAATTGTCATTCAAAGTGTGACAGCACTAAAAGCTGAAAATTGGCCTGGACAGGAAGGGGGTAAAAGTGTCCGACTTGAAGTGGTTAAAGAAGGAGGCACTGAAGCTTAAGAAACAGAATAGAGGGCACTGGAACCAACAGGAGAGACCAAAGCCCATGGATCACCTAGGATGCTATTTGCAGTGTTGCTGGAACTGCTCAAAGATTCTGACATTGTGAATCTGGACATGGGAGAAGTTTGTAAGTGCTCTACTAGAGTATCTGGGACCCCTAACCATCATAAAGTGACTGGCACCCTTCATTATTTCTCAGTCCCCCATCTTAGCCATGCACTCAGCCGTGGGATGTCATGCTGGCCCACCCCTGCCTCTGGGGGTACCACCATGCCTCAAGGGGTCAGGGGAATAAAACATATAATGACTTTTAATTAAAATTTTCAGAGCATGTAGTCCAACAAATGTGGCAGATACAGGGATGCTTACATTGTTCAGTAGGGGGAGAAGCTTACAAAATTAGTGGGGGTCGCTAGAACGAAAGAGACATTTTTTGTACAGTTGCACAGGGAAGGTAAGTGTTGCCTCTCTTCTAATTGTTTATTTGACTTTAAAGTGACTTTATTTTGTTTATCACTTACCTAAAGTCTAAAACTACATATCCATCAATGGCTGATCACACACGTTACAATCTGAAAGTGCAATCTCTTTTCAATTTCCTTTAGAGCTACCAAAACTATGTAGGAAAAGCCTAAACAATGCACTCAATTTGTCTTTAGTCCGGTTGGATCTCATGCTATATAATATTTGGTAGATCTAAAGAAGGTTGTTCAGATTGTAATGTGTGTTGCTGGTTTTACCTACCCTGTCCACAGGGTGACAATGTTGCTGTACGATTTCAGTGCTACTTTACTGGCAGGATTAACAGATGACAACACTATTTTACAGCATTACGCTTCATTCACATGTCCTACATTGGCCATAGTGTGGCTGAGATTACCTGCGTCTGAGATTCCAGGGGTTCCGATCAGCAGTGGTTTCTCAGCATGTAGAGCTCAATGACAGGCTGAAAGGAGCTGGTTCTACCCACAGTTGTTAGCATGTATCTATACATGCTGTAGTTAAGGACAAATATTCGACCCTGGACATAGACAGGATGTGTCCAAAACAAAACATCTGTCCCTAACACCAGGTAATTGCTGGGTTTGCAAATTCATTTTACAGCTCCAGCTCCTTTCAGCCTTTTGTACAGGCTGAGTAGCTATAGCTCATTAGAACACCTGGGATACTGGCCGCAGGTATCCTCAGTATACTTGCCACACCATGGCTGATTCAGAACATGTTTTTGAGGCCTTAAAAAACTTACAAACTTAAAAACATTTTAAAAAACACTTTATTAGATACACCTTGCTAGTATTGGGTTGGACCCCCTTTTGCCTTCAGGACTGCCTTCATTCTTCATGGCATACATTCAACTAAGTGTTGGAAACATTCCTCAGAGATTTTGGTCCATATAGACATGATAGCATCATGCAGTTGCTGCAGATTTGTTGGCTGTATATCCATGATGCGAATCTCCCATTCCACCACTTCCCAAAGGTGCTCTATTGGATTGAGATCTGGTGACTATGGAGGCTATTGGAGTACAGTGAACTCATTTTCATGTTCAAGAAACCAGTTTGAGATGATTTGAGCTTTTTGACATGGTGCTTTATCCTGCTGGAAATAGCCATCAGAAGATGGGTACACTGTAGTCATAAAGGGATGGACATGGTCAGCAACAATACTCAGGTAGGCCATGGCATTTAAAAGATGCTCAATTGGAACTAAGGGGTCCAAAGTGTGGAAGGGAAGAGCAGGTGAGCTGTAGACGAGGCGAGAACAGGGAGCTGTGGAGAGGGGGGTACAGAGGTGAGCTGTGAATGGGAGGTGCAGTGGTAAGCAAAGAGGAGGTGCAGAGGTAAGCAATAGATGGTTACATTGGGAGGGGATATGTAAGTTCTGTCCCTTGTTCTGATATTTTTCTGTGCTTTGTGTGATACACATAATTCAGCACTGCACAGTATGCATTCCCAAATGCCATAGTCTGTGCCGTACTCTGTGCCTCTTGCACATTGTCCAAAGGATGATTTAAAGTGGTTTTGTTGAGAAATGGCAGGGTTGGGGATAGGAAGTTAGCGAAGAGGGTTCCTGCATCTTTTCTCTGAGAAAAAAAGCCCTGCACACGCATAAACAAATATACTCACTGGTCACTTTATTAGGTACACCTTGCTAGTACCAGGTTGGCCCCTTTTTTGCCTTCAGAACTGCCTTCATTCTTCATGGCATAGACTCAACAAGGTGTTGGAAATATTCCACAGAGATTTTTTCCATCTTGACATGACAGCATTAGGCAGTGCTGCAGATTTGTCAGCTGCACATCCATGATGCGAATCTGCCATTCCACCACATCCCATAGGTGTTCTAATGGATTGAGATCTGGTGACTGTGGAGGTCATTGGAGTACAGTGAACTCATTATGTTCGAGAAACCAGTTTGAGATGATTTGAGCTTTGTGACAATGGTGCATTATCCTGCTGGAAGTAGCCATCTGAAAATGGGTACACTGTAGTCATAAAGGGATGGACATTGTCAGCAACAATACTCAGGTAGGCCATGGCATTTAAATGATACTCAACTGGTACTAAGGAGCCCAAAGTGTGCCAAGAAACCGTTGATACAAGGCAGGATGGATCAATGCTTTCATGTTTTTTACGCCAAATTCTGACCCTACCATCTGAATGTTGCAGCAACCAGTCTGCCCATTTTCCTCTGACCTCTGACATCAACAAGTCATAGCTGAAATCGAGAATCATTAGACCAGGCAACGTTTTTCCAATTTTCTATTGTCCAATTTTGGTGAGTCTGTTCAATTTGTAGACTCCGTTTCCTGTTCTTAGCAGACAGGAGTGGCACCCAGTGGGGTCTTCTGCTGCTGTTGCCCATCTGCTTCAAGGTTCGACATGTTGTGCGTTCAGAGATGGTATTCTGCATACCTTGGTTGTAATGAGCAGTTATTTGAGTTACTGTTGCCTTTCTATCATCTTGAAAAAAGTCTGCCCATTCTTCTCTGACATCAACAAGACATTTTCGTCCACATAACTGCCGCTCATTGGATATTTTCTCTTTTTCAACCAGCCTGTCTGGCACCAACAACCATGCCACGTTCAAAGTCACTTAAATCCTCTTTCTTCCCCATTCTGATGCTCAGTTTGAACTTCACCAAGTAGTCTTCACCACATCTAGATGCCTAAATGCATTGAGTTGCTGCCATGTGATTGGCTGTTTAGCTATTTGTGTTACCAAGCAATTGTTCTAGTTCCAGGAACCACAGCAGTTTTGCGCTGTGTGCACAGACATCAGCAGTTTGCATTATATATGACTGTCTCTGAATCCACAGTGTAAAGACACAACCTGGTATGTGTCCACAGAGAAATTAATGCTATAGTGATACAAGCAGAAAAGGGTCCATAGAGACACATCCATACTCCCCTCAGGTTTAAGGTTTCATAGAGCTCTATGCTCTGGCTGTGCGGTGTGTGTGACTTCAGATCCCTGCCCCCTGCTTCTACTGCTGAGAAATAGTCCTTGATCTGTATGTTTTAAGAGGTTATATAGAGAAGAGGTGTTGCATATAAACAGGTACAACTTATGTATGATTTTTTTCTCTATGTACCAGTCACTTCACTGGGTATATGTAAGAGTTTCCAACCACTTTAAACTAAAGTAAATCAAGCTTATAAATGAAGATCCTGCATACTTACATTTCCAGTGGTCTGTATCTTAAAACTCTGCTACATACTGTAACAGATTCCAAGCAGCTGCATGTACCAACAAATCTGGGTGTGTTGAATACCTGCTCCCCTGCCATGATCTGTGGTTCTTCTGGTAGGCTCCTGTAGTAAGTGAGTATGTATAATCTCTTTTTACAGGGTTGCTATACTTTAGTTTATACTCTTTTCAATTCTTAAAAAATGGACAAATTTGGGGCAGTAACCTTACAGTAAATTATTCCCATGCTTTGTCAAAAACATTACAAATAAAACACTACAAACATGGTGGAATAAGTGAAATAAGAATTTTTACAATAATGCTTAGCTAATCTGATGAAATTAACATGTAGTAGAATATTAGGTTGAAAAATAGGAAATTTTGTGTTTCTTCTAACATAATCCCCTTGGGTTTAATAATTAATAGATCACTTGGTGTTTATTTGTGTTTGTGACTTCAAATGCATTCTTAATGTGCGCTTATGGGAGCAGCACCAACAGATGATTAAACATTAATGGGTCTTAATATTCAGTTCATTCACATGCGCAGTTTATGCAGTTTATCACATCTGCACAGTGTTCGATAGCACTAAACATTTACATATGTAGGCTAAATTATTTCATTTAGAAAACAAAAGGGGGGTATGGTTAGTGGGGAGTCGGACTACACACAAGCTGTAAACTATCAGTTAAAAAAGCAATATATTGTCACAATTGTATTACCGTATATCTGTTCAGTTTATTCCAAAAACAATTTCCCATTCAATCGAATTGTATCATTTGACTCAAAGATTGCTGAACATACAAATAGATATTCAGCAGCAAATTACTTAAAAAAATGAAAATACTGAAAGATTTCCAATTCATTCAAGCGATGAACAGTGGTGCTTCCTTTTTTTCTGCACTGATACTGTAAAACAATTGCATATTGCCCTGTAACTCCTAGATGAGCAAGAATTCCCTGGGCAAAATCACAGGACATCGCAATCGCAATGGTTAATTGTAAATGTAGCCTTCAAATATAGAATAAAAATGTTTTATTTTGCAGCTTGCTCACCAGTTCTTAGATGTGGTGACCAGGGGTGGACTGACCATTTGGAAACTCGGGCACTGCCCGAGGGCCCGGGGTCAGTAAGGGGGCCCCATGAGATGCCCCTGGTACCTTTTTCATAGGCTTTTTTGAGTTTGGGCAAGGACACAGGGGCCCCATGATCCCCTATTGCCCGGGGGCCCCATGAGTTGTCAGTCCGACCCTGGTGGTACAGAACAGTACCTGTTGATTTTGCTAGAAATGCAATGGCTTTGTCATTTCCTGTGAGATGAACTGAAAGCAAAGGAACTTGTTTAACCACTTCCCCCACCACAATATTGTGGGCAGTCCACAGCTACAGCCTAAGTGACATACTGGTACATCGCTTAGCACATGCACAGTAGCACACCCCCTGGGGCACATAGTAGCACGGTTTCCGTGACCACTGTGTCCGGTGCTTGGTACTGTGAGCAGGTATCATGTGATCGCTATGACCAATCATAACAATCACATGATTACAATGTAAGCAAAAGTGTCATGAATGGTTTCCGTGACCACTGTGTCCGGTGCTTGGTACTGTGAGCAGGTATCATGTGATCGCTATGACCAATCATAACAATTACATGATTACAATGTAAGCAAAAGTGTCATGAATGGTTTCCATTCATGACAGCTTGCTTACTGTTGTGGTGCTGTAATTGGCCCACAGCTATCACATGGTACCTGGCACCCTGTACTATGTGATTAGCTGTAGCCAATCACATCATTATAATAGTAAGTATTCAAGTTACTACCTTTTGTACCACTAGCTCCTCCCTCTTAGATTGTAATCTCCGAGGAGCAGGGACTTCCTAACCCTCTTGTATTGAACTGTATTGTTGCTGTATTGTCTCCCATTATATTGTAAAGTGCTGAGCAAACTGTTGGTGCTATATTACTCCTGTATAATAATAATAATAATAAGTAAGCTCTCATGAATGAAAACCATTTATGACAGTTAAAACTGATCATCGCTGTTATAAGCAATAATAATGTAAAAAAAAAATCCCTAATTATCCCCTCAGAGTAGTACAGTGTCACTTTGGCAACATTGAACTACTCTGATGACAGTATGTAAAAAGAAAATATAAAAAAAATGTTAAAAGGAAATGTTTAAAACATTGAATAAAAAATTATATTTTTTTTATATTCACATATATTCACCAGTCAGTATCTCTGATCACTGCTACACCTTATATGATGATGCTATACTGCAGTTGTGTAAAAAAATAAATAAGAAATAAAAATTTAATTTCTTAATTTTCCAAGAAATTGTGACAAAAAATACATAGTTACATAGTTAGTCTGGCTGAAAAAAGACAAAATTCCATCCAGTTTAACCATAAAAAAAAGTTATAATCCTACACCCACAGTTGATCCAGAGGAAGGCAAAAAAAACCCAGCAAAGCATGATCCAAGTTGATCCTCCAGGGAAAAAAATTCCTTACTGATCCCCCGAGAGGCAATCGGATATTCCCTGGATCAACTTTACCTATAAATGTTAGTATCCAGTTATATTCTGTGTATCTAGGAAAGAATCCAGGCCTTTTTTAAAGCAATCCACGGAGCTGGCCAGAACCAACTCTTGAGGAAGTCTATTCCACATTTTCACAGCTCTCACTGTGAAGAAACCTTTCTGTGTTTGGAGATTAAATTTCTTTTCCTCCAGACGTAAAGAGTGCCCCCTTGTCCTCTGTGATGACCTCAGGGTGAATAGCTCTGCACCGAGTTCACTATATGAACCACTGATGTATTTATACATGTTGATCATATCCCCCTTAATCTCCTCTTCTCAAGAGAGAATAAATTCAGTTCCTCTCATCTTTCCTCATAGCTGAGCTCCTCCATGCCTCTTATCAGTTTGGTTGCCCTTCTCTGTGCTTTCTCCAGTTCCCCAATGTTCTTTTTGTGAATTGGTGCCCAAAACTGAACTGCATATTCCAGATGAGGTCTTACTAATGATTTGTACAGGGGTAAAATGATATCTCTCTCTCTGGAGTCTATACCTCTTTTAATACAAGAGAGGATTTTGCTCACTTTAGAAACTGCAGCTTGGCATTGCATGTCATTATTAAACTTGTGATCTACCAGAACTCCCAGATCTTTCTCCACCATTGATTCCCCCAGTTGTACTCCCCCTAGTATGTATGATGCATGCATATTCTTAGCCCCCAATAAACCTCATTTGTCACATAGTTGTCCAATTAAACAGTGCATTGAGGTCGACTTGTAAATTGGAGACATCCTGTAAAGACATTATTCCACTGCACAGCTTGGTGTCATCTGCAAAGACTAAAATGGGATTTTTAATCCCTGACCCTATATCATTTATAAATATATTAAAAAGTAAGGGTCCCAACACTGAACCTTGGGGTACACCACTGACAACCCTAGACCATCCAGAGTATGAATCAATAACCACTACTCTCTGAATACAATTTTTTAGCCAGTTTTCTATTCATTTACATACTGATTTTTCCAAGCCTGTAGACTTTACCTTATACATCAGCCGTGTGTGGGGAACTGTGTCAAATCCTTTTGCAAAATCCAAGTATACCACGTCCACAGCTACCCCTCTGTCCAAGGTTTTGTTCACCTCCTCATAATCAGATTTGTTTGACAACTTCTGTCTTTCATGAATCCATACTGTCTGTTGCTTAAGATATTTTTTTCCAGCAAGAACTCATCTATGTGGTCTTTTAATAAACTCTCCAGTATCTTCCCAACTCAATATTCAATATTGATACTCAATACAACTTCAAAAAACTTGCCATACCTCTTACTAAATACCTTGTTCTGTCATTTAGTTAGTATTTGTACAGTACATCAGGACTAATCGATTTTTAAATATGTATACCATAGTTTGTAGACTATATAACTTCTATATATAGTATAGTTGTATTTAGTATACACATATTCAATAATAAACACTGATTTGGGGTTATTTTTATCAAAAAATGTAGCAGAATACATTTTAGCCTAAATATCTGAAGAAAGATTATTCATTTGCAACATTTTATAACAGAAAGTAAATTTTGTAGTATTTTTCATTTATATAGCAAAAAAACAAAACACCCAGTGTGATTAAATACCACCAAAAGAAAGCTCTATTTGTGTGAGAAAATAATATAAATGTAATTTGGGTACAGTGTTGCATGACCGAGCAATTGCCAGTTAAAGTGCAAATAACATAAAATGTCCTAGTCATGAAGGGGGTAAAACCTTCTGAAGGTCAAGTGGTTTAAGCCCAGCCTGGGTGTCAACCATAGTTCCCTCTACAGATACAGTGGGGAAGTGAGCATAGGAAGTGTATTATTTGCAGGATTACTGGGTTAAGACGTAGCGCTACCCCCGAAGGAGCCGCTTGATCATTTTGGGTTCACTTTTCTATGCCTAGACTCCAAAAACAAACTCAGCCCCTCTGACACACCTGGCTGTAGTTAGATCCAGAAATAAAAACACACACCTGTTTAGTGATAATCAAGTTGGATATATTGTAAGAAGTCAAGACAGCTGACAGTTTAAAACACCCCTGAACGTTAATGGAGATGATTAATGCAATAGAAATAACAACCATGAATATTCAGCAACTGTAAGGCCTAGTTTATTCTGGCATTGAAAGCAGGTGTTAGAGTCGCAGTTTTACCGCTCCTCGAATGCCTGTAAATGATACTATGGGCAGCACACAGTACTGTTCACATTATCAAAACATGAAGTATTAGCATCGCGTTTCTTCCAAATTGAAGCCTCATGTCGAGTCAGGAAGCCTTTCAATGCCTCCCATTCAAGTTTATGGTGACACTCCTCAAACGCACTGGCAGGCATTTGCAGCGTGTCAATACCACTACAGTTTATTTTCTGTGTGGCAAGGTTTTAACGCTTGTCAAACGCTTATAAAACACTTCAAAACTGCACATAGGGCATTTGGGGAGCATTTTAACGCTTGTAAAAAGCCAGAGACCACGCCCAACGCCTGTCTAACACCTATACTAAAGCTATATGAGCATTTGGTAAGAGTTAGAAATTTAGCCAAGTGTGAACAAGCCTTAAATGTAAGAATAGACTGAAACTATGTATGTCTATTTACTATTATCAATATCACAGGTGCTGAGAGGAAGAGAAGACGATTTGTTGATTCTTCAACTCCCTCTGGGCCAAAAATCACTACTAAGATAAACAAATGGAATTATGCAGATTCAGTAATCCAACTCTAGTCTGAATATATACACTCACCAGCCACTTTATTAGGTACACTTGGTCAATTCTTAACTCAAATTCCTAATCGGCCAATCACATGGCAGCAACTCAATGCATTTAGGCATGTAGACTTGGTGAAGATGACTTGCTGAAGTTCAAACCGAGCATCAGAATGGGGAAGAAAGGGGATTTAAGTGACTTTAAACATGGCATTATTGTTGGTGCGATATGGGCTGCTCTGAGTATTTTGAAACTGCTGATCTACTGGGATTTTCACGTACAACCATCCCTAGAGTTTACAGAGAATGGTCCAAAAAGCAGAAAATATCCAGTTAGTGGCAGTTGTGTGAATGAAAATGCCTTGTTGATGTCAGAGGTCAGAGTAAAATGGGCAAACTGGTTGTTGCGACATTCAGATGGTAGGGTCAGAATTTGGTGTAAACAACATTAAAGCATGGATCAATCCTGCCTTGTATCAACAGTTCAGGCTAGTGGTGGTGGTGTAATGGTGTGGGGGATATTTTCTTGCAGTAGCAAGGTGTACCTAAATGTATATATATATAGGGCAGCACAGTGGCTAAATGGTTAGCACTTCCGCCTGGCAATACTAGGGTCGTTGGTTTCGAATCCCAGCCACGGCACCACCTGCCTGGAGTTTGCATGTTTTCCCTGTGCCTGCGTGGGTTTCCTCCGGGTACTCCGGTTTCCTCCCACACTCCAAAGGCATGCTGGTAAGTTAATTGGATCCTGTCTAAATTGGCCCTAGTATGTGTATGTATGAATGTAAGTTAGGGACCTTAGATTGTACACCCTTTGAGGGTTAGGGACTGATGGGAATGTACAATATATATGTAAAGCGCTGTGTAAGTTGACGGCGCTATATAAGTACCTGAAATAAATAAGTCATACATTTTATATATATATATATATATTCTAACAAACGACTTGCTAACCGCTAAAACCAATGGTCACTATTCCGTACTCATA